CATGATCACTGCAGATGGAGACAGCAGCCACGAAATCAAAAGAGGCCTGCTTCTTGGGAGGAAAACGATGACAAACTTAATAAGCATGTTAAAAAGCAGAGACATCACTCTGCCAACAAAGGTCCACATAGTCAAAGCTATGGTTTTTCCAGTAGTGATGTATGGAAGTGAGAGCTGGACCATAAAGAAGGTTGACCGCCCAAAAATGGATGCTTTTGACCGCATCATCAAACTATGGTTTTTCCAGTGGCGATGTATGAAAGTGAGAGCTGGACCAGAAAGAAGGTTGACCGCCCAAAAATGGATGCTTTTGAATTGTGGTGCTGGAGGAGGCTCTAGAGAGTCCCCTGGACTGCAAGGAGAATAAACCTATCCATTCTAAAGGAAATCAACCCCGAGTGCTCACTGGAAGGACAAATCCTGAAGCTGAGGCCAATACTTTGCCATCTCATGAGAAGAGTCCTTGGAAAAGACCTTGATGTTAGGAAAGTGTGTGGGCAAGAGGAGAAGGGGACGACAGAGGTTGAGATGGTTGGACAGTATCATTGAAGCAACCAACATGAATTTGACACAACTCTGGGAGGCAGTGGAAGATAGGGGGGCCTGGCATGCTCTCGTTCATTGGGTCATGAAGAGTCGGACACGACTAAACAACAACCACAGTGACCCAGATGGCACCATCATGAACAGCCCTACTGAGGTCTTGAAGACTCCAGGTCATGGTTTCTTCACTGGGTAAATCATCTCCTGGTTGGTCTTCCTCTTTTGTTTAACTACTTTCTATTTTCTCTAGCTTTATTATCTTTTCCAATAAGTCTTGCCTGTTCATGATATCCCAGCGGAGTCATTTTGACTGCTAGGGAGAGTTCTGGCTTAGTTAGATCTGGCATCCTCTGATTTGTCCTTTTGGCTGTTCATGATTTCTGTAGAGCTCCTGCCCAACAACATATTTCAAAAGGCATAATTTTTCTTGCTTTTTTCATTCACCTGTTTCCTGTTATCCTCCTAAAATACGTCTCGGTTACAGATGGTGGAAGAGCTTCTGTAACTTCAACATGTTTTGGCAAGCTTGCTTAGTTATGAGGAGTTATTTCCTGGTCACTTGCTGGCTACCAAAAACATGAGGGTCCTAAGATTAGCTGTCGCTGGGTTGTCAGCTAGAATGTGGCGGCTCACAGGATCGGATGGGTGTCCCCTTCCTCTTCATTGGCAGAATCTTGAGGAAACTTTTTTTCTTCTGGCAGCACACCTGTGAGGTCTACTTCCTGGTGTTAATTTCCCACAGGTGTAGGCATCCTTCAGTCTCGAGAGACTATGGCAACGTGCTCTGAATAGAAGTCTTGGAACAGAGTCTAGTGTGGCTGAGAAGGCCAATTCAAGAGTGACCATCCCTTCCACACTGTAGACAAATACAATCTATCCCCTGTCCAGCTCCCCGGTTTTCCTGATTTCAGGACTGCCTCTTAGCCTCAGCCTGCTGGACAACTGTCTATTCAAATTGGGAGAGGCCACGATGCACTGCCTGCCTCCAGGCTTAACGGTCAGATGTCAGGGTTTCCAATCTGTTGAGGTCCATTCGTAAGGCCTTCAGATCTCGCTTGCAGATGTCCTTGTAACGCAGTTGTGGTCTCCCTCTGGGGCGCTTTCCCTGCACTAATTCTCCATACAGGAGATCTTTTGGCATCCGACCATCAGCCATTCTCACAACATGCCCAAGCCAACGTACATGTTGCTGTTTCAGTAATGTATTCATGCTAAAAATTCCAGCTCGTTCTAGGACCTCTTTATTTGAAACTTTGTCCTGTCAGGTGTTACCAAAAATGTGTTGGAGACAATGCATATGGAATGTGTTCAGCTTCCTCTCCTGCTGTGCACAAAGGGTCCAGGACTCGCTGCAGTACAGGAGTGTGCTCAGGACACAGGCTCTATAGACCTGGATCTTGGTATATGCCCTTCTTGTTAAGCCATACTCTCTTTGTGAGTCTAGAGAACATGGTAGGTGCTTTGCCAATGTGTTTATCCAGCTCAACATCTAGGGAGAGAGTGTCAGAGATCATTGAGCCACAAAATCATGAACAACCTCCAATTCTTGGGTGGAGATGATAATAGAGGGAGGTGAGTCC